GATTACCTACCCAAGGAATGGAATTCTCTCTCTGAACCACAGCATGTACTTAGGACCTTATTCCACGTACTTGACCTTCCCATGTGTAGTGCTGGCTGAGGTCACCACCCTGCTGGGCCCAACTTTTTGATAGTGAGTCTGTTCCCTTGGCCAGATTTTGTAGTTGAATTCACTCTGTGAGGCCATCTACCTTCCAAGTCCCTGTTTCTTCTGTGATATCTTGTCCAGGAATCAACGAACTCAAGCTCTTACGCTGATGTGGTATAGTGGAGGTTTAATCCATCTCCTTGGATCTTGACCTTCACAGTTACTAAAAATCCATCCAATTTTGTTAAAGAGATGCAGGGCCATCACTTGCCAAACATAAGTATTTGTAAATGCATCAGGCATCCTACTAATTCTAAATTCTAAACATAAGTTAGTATCATTTCATCACATTTGAGAATCTTGGATTTTGCAATCCATCTTAAAAAATGAGTTGGTAGGCCAAGAAAATTTAACAATATAAATCAGCTATCATTTCTTTACTGCAAAGCATTTTCTAGGCTCTGGGATTAAATCAGAGGATAAAATAAAAATCCTGACCCTCACAGATCATCTGTTTGAGTAGGAAGATTAGCTAGTTATTTTGTATCTATATAACAGTCTTCTCATCAAATTAGGGGAGCGGCTTCAGATTCGAAATCTAAACTGTGGTGAGGTTAGTTAGATACAACTCACCAGCTAGCTACCAAAAGAAATTTATCCTCTCTGAGCACCAGTAGATTCTTGATGGCTTATTGGACAAATGCTCTGACTCCTTTGAAATGTTGGTCATGACTATGGGATCATTCCTGAGTCTCGGTCTCGGACTCACCAAATTCTCCTGCCCCTCCACCTCATATGTAGATATATTGCAAGATTCACAAAACAATGGACAGTTTTCTATTCTGATGACCGTCCAGGCCTCCGCTGCTTTCTCTCCTTCCCCTGGCGCCTGACCTTTGGGTCACTCTTCTTCTCTAAGGCTTCTGCAAACATTACAAAGCCATGAAGGGAAACTGAGAGATTAACATTCAAACTACTCAATTGCCCTCCCCTTAGCTTCTTTAGTAAATTCTTGGAGATAGGTGTTGTGAAAATAAATAAAGGAAGAAGGAAGGTAAGAATTAAATTGATAGGGAGGACATTCTCACATAGGAATTTCATCTTCCACTTTTAAGAAAAAGAAGGAAGATCCTCCCCGCCCCAGCAACAGCGCACTAACCACCACGTATACTCAATGAGAAATGCTCTTTCTTTGTTTTTTTCCAATGAACTTTTGTTTAAAACAATCCTCCTTCACTTCCTCCTCTAACCTAATAACAGCCGGCTTTTCCTTTGTCTCTTTGGACTCACCTGTGCTGAGTCCCCATTGTTTGCTTGTCTTCATCTGCGATTCTTCCGCTAGTACCAAAGAACTAATATGCTGATAACTGACTATTTTAAAGGTAGACAGGGTTATCTGTTTCCAGTTCACATCACTGTTATGCTAATATCACTATTCTCTTAAAAGGAATTTATGAGCAGACAGGCAAATATATGAACACTAGCCTGCAGGAAGCCTCAAGGACAGTAGAGATATGGAATGTTTTCCAAGAGTCATGCTTCCTTCCAATGAAAAGTTCCCCAAAAGTATACTAGCAAGGATCGGATGGTTGCATAACGAGTTATTTTGAGATTTTCAATGTAAATTATTGAACCTGCATCTGGGGGGATTCATTTCCTTTTCAAAAACTAACTCTTAGGGTTTTCAATATACTTTTCTCTCACTATTCAACATATATAACCCAGATTGGCCTTTGTGAGACCAAACAGATGTCCCAGCTGCAATTTGCAATTGCAACGATAATATATTGCAATAATATCAGAGGCAGTCATGCTAGCAACGGATCCTCTGAAGAAGTCTGGTAATATTTATACAAGTTAATACTATTTTTTGGCATCTTTTGCCTTGCCTCCACACTTCCTGGAATTGAAAACATTCTCTTTCACAAGTGTGACAAGATAGTAAGAAGCCTACAAGTTCATATTCAGCAGTGGAGGACGCACAAACGAGATGTCGACAGGTTTTGAGGCTTGCAGATTCCAAATATCCTGGTCTCACAAAAGGTTCACAGAGATGGATTGATATTCCAAAAAAGAAATAAAAATGAAACAAGAGATATAAATAGGCTTTTTCATTGGATTGAATGATGGGAAATTCTGACCCCATCAAACAACATTCTTCCTTTTTTGAGCTTTTTATTTCATTGTCTTTGACCCGTAATCAGAGTCCTTATAAGAGATACAGTTAGCAGAAGAGGCCGAGAGGTAACTAAGAAGATGAGTGGCTGGAAATAAATGTTTCCGCAAGCATTTACTACCCCTCAGAAATGTCCATCAGCTGAAATGTTAGTCCCATAGAACCACTTAGGCAGTGCCGAGGAGAGAAGCGGGTGGCTGTTATTAATTTTTAAGGCTAGCTGACAGCTTTCAGTCCAAGAACAAAGCTTAACTTTGCATTCTGAATAATGCAGAAATTTTCATTAGTTAAAATAGGAATTGAAATGATAAATGATACATTGTCTGCCAAAATACTGTGACATTACATTATATATCTGCAGTCACCTTTCAGAATGAGCTTTCCAGAAGTATACTTAGACAGATTGGAAAGCTACCAGTATTGGCTTTTGGTTTTTTTTTTTACTCTATGTTTAGATTTTGGAAAAACAAATCGAAAGACACATCTTTCTGACTGCGGGTTGGTAATGTCATATCCAAAGGGCAGTTCATTACTGCACCTAAAAGCTAAGTGTTGGCACAAATTGTGCTAGTCTATGAGATCATTGCAATTGATTTCCAGACATTTCTTTTTGCTCGCATCTGCCTTCTGAAGACTCTGGGACAATTTAATTACAATTGCACTTTTGATTTCTACTTCTTTCAATAAAAAATGTAAAATTACACTCATTTGAGAACTATCAGCCTAAAAGGTTTGTGATTGCTTTTCTCTGTCATCTTTCTTCCAGTAGATCATCATATCGAGTCAGCCTAGGGCATATTTTTTGTGTTTTAAGCACCCAAGACTTTTTCTGGCTCTAAGTTTTGTTTGACTTGATGGTAACACTATGTACTATATATAACTACTATATCCAGATGTCTGTTGATACCTTCATGTATGGCCCTAATAACAAACACTAGAATTAAACCATTAATAGAATAGGTTTCTAGCAGCTGCTTGAATGCCAGTTTGACGGGCACTAAAATAGCTGATTCAGAGATTTCTATAGAGAAACTTAAGCTAATACAAGACACCAAAGTCAATGGAATTACAATATCTGCCAGTAGCAATACAATCCATATCCACTGACATTATTACTTTAAAAGAGCTGATGGAAGGTCAAAACTGTTTACCCAATTTAGATGAGCCTTTTCTTTCGCATGTCATTTTCTATTTCCAAGTTTTGCTTAAAATCACAAGCCCCAAGGAAAAGTCCTTTATGTATTTACTCTAATAGATAAAAGACTATTGATTAATCTACCTTTTCTCACACAATAAGGTAGCATTAGCATCCTCTGAGAGCCTCAGCGAAGAGGACAAGAATATCTACTTCAACATACTTTATAAAGGATTCAGCTGGAATTTGTCAGTCAGGGTATCGTGTGTTTGAAGTTGCTTTGAAGTATTTAGTCTAATAATTTGCTCTAGGTCTCCATTGCAGTTAAGATTGTTCAGGCTGCCCAGTAGTTTTTGGAGGTGACGCTGTGAGTTGGAAGCGCGCTGCTGATTTCCTGCGCGCTACCTTTGTCGGACTGTGGAGCTACCGACTTACTCCAGAAAGTACACTTTCAGAAGTGAACCTCACAGTGGGAAGTGTTGTCATCTGAACAGCACTTTTGAAATGTCAGAAACTTTCTGGTTTTTCTAGTGTTACAAAAAAATCTCCAAGCCAGCATAAAAGATACGATGCAGTATGTTCACATATTTTCACTCCCTGAGAGTTTAATCTCAGGGTCTAATATTTTTTTCCAGTTGGTGAAATAAATCCTCATTGTCAACTGGATTCCAGTTCATATACTGTGACCACATCTATTTGGTGGGAAGCATTTATCAGACTTCGGAGGTGTGCTCTAGAGAGAAGATATCATAGTTAGCTGGACACTTATCTTCATTTTTTTTTTAAAGGGTCAACTTTATGACCCAGACAGTTTAACTATGATGATACAACTGAATCTTTGAGATGGGTGGGTGTGACTTCTGTGCCTAATAATAATTTATTTTAAAAAGCAAACTAAAATTTTCTTTGATATTACATGAGCTCATGAGAGTTGTGCCAGAATTGCCTTACAGTAGCAGACACTCAATAAAGGCCACTTGTTGGCTTCTGTGGCTAAATCTTCACCCACATAACTTCAGGTCATATATGTCTGTTATTTCTTTGGTGGTATGCTGCTAACACATGACTCAGCTTTTTAGCATCCCATTAGTTAATTTTCAGGATTTCTTCTTTCAGTTTGGGGTGCTTTTTTCATATCTCACCTGAAAGGTTGTCATTTCTAGTTTTTGTGGAGCATTTTATAAAATTTATATTCATATACTTCTTGCTAGAATGTATAGTATTGAGGTTATTGCTATTAGTCAGATTTCAAAACTCTGCAGCTAGCATACTTACAATTGGCAATGGATAAATGATCCCTGGTATTCTGTTCGACGTTGTCTTTAGATCTCTGAAGAAAAGTTGCTAAGACATGATCTGACAGCCATCTGTAGGCTTCCAGTCTCTGGGCATCCTCACACACACCTTGGCTTGAGGGTTTCAATACCTACGCCACCTTATTTGTGTGCAGTTCAGTTTGCAAACACTTGATTATAATTTTACCATGCTGCATTCCGTCATTTTAAATTCCAACTACAAAAGCATTCCTAGCCCTGTAATGATTAGCTTTGGAAGCTATATCTCATCCAAAAGAAATCCATAGGTAACTACGATAGTACTTACAGGTGTCCTCTTCTTCCATGAAAATACTGATCACATAACAGGCATACACAAAACCAACCAACTGCAAAAGAGAAGAAAGAATACTTTAAGAATGCATGCCAAATGTCCAGAATTAAAGAGCCTATATCATCCAATAAATGAACATAAAAATACATAGTAAAAATGTCGATGAATCTATAATAGGAAGAAATCTAGTTTTTAAATAATAGCTGTGATTTAAATTTTTTTTAAATGTTTATTCACTTTTGAAATAGAGAGAGACAGAATCCAAAGCAGACTCCAGGCTCTGGGCTGTCAGCACAGAGCCTAACGTGGGGCTTGGACCCATGAACCGCAAGATCATGATCTGAGCTGAAGTTGGATGCTTAACGGACTAAGCCACCCAGGAGCCCCATAGCTGTGATTTTAAAGAGTTTTGCCATCTCTACTCAGTTACAATGGCTTTCTAAAACAGAACACAAGAGTGGGAGCATTTTTTTTAGACATTTCACTTGGATTTTGATTTGGGATTTACAGTCCTTATATTTTAAAATCGCCACAGATTATTCAGAACATATATTTTTAAGTTTTGATGATTTAAAGAGCAATTTGTAGCAGCACTCATTATTACTACAACTATTTTAATACTTAATACCCATAAAAGGAATCAAAATATGCTAATTGTAAAGTAAATACCAATCATGTACTTAGTTGTTTGAAATGCTTTGAGAATATAATTCTATTTAAATACTAAATTGTTTTGTTAATTATAGCATCAGAAAATACATTAACTTTTAGTTCATTAATCATATAATGACACAGAAGTAGTTTATACTTGGATACTAGTGGCTAAATAAATGCAGGTGCTAGAGTGTAGGCTTTCTCGTTTTTCATATTGCTTTCTGTACCTAGTATACTGAGAAGGCAATTTTATTTTAGGGAGCCAGAGACACTGCAGTTCCTGAGGGATAAACCTGTCAATGCAGCTAGTCTAGTCTAAAATTACTCTAAGTACCTTGCTGAAAGATAGATACCTCAATATTAGTTATATAGTCTTTTCTCTCTGTTGTTAAAGTCTATCCCCTCCTCCCTTTATAAAAAAAAAAAAAAAAAAAAAAAACAGTTAGAAAGAAACCTTCTCTGCTAGTCCCAGTGTCAAAAGCTGAGATTCCCAGTGCAGAGAACAGTCCATCTCAGTCCATCTGGTGTTTGTGACTACCCTGTAGATTAGGACCTTGAACTTGGAATTCGCCTCCAGCGTGGGCAGGATCAGGTTCTAGCTTTTCCTCACTTCCTGAGATGGATTTCCTCTCGCTCTTTCAGGAAAATGCAGAGAAAGTGGTGAGGTCAGAAGGCTCAAAACAGAGAGGTTCCAACCGAGGAAGAGATGACCAAAGAGCATCTGTTGCTGCTTGATGGTTCTTTCATCAACGGGACTGTTGGAATGCTGCTTCTCCAGTTTGCGCATCACCTCACAGAATTGTGGTTGAGTTTGCTCATCTCCCTGTGGAAGACGTGCCTCAGCTTGGAAATGTTTTGGAAGATGGTCATGTCACAGCCAGAAAGACTATTATAAGGAATCGGCAGCTCCTTTAGCAGTTCCTGGTTCAGCTCTTTAGACACAATCTGGGCTTTGATGAACTCTTCCTCAGCCTTGGCCATACTAACCTCATCCGTCTTTTCTGTATTCTGCATACCTCCAGGTGGCACTGAGCACTGCCACATTCCATGAGTTTCCAACCCACTTGGCGATTCTCTCTTTCATCTCCCTGAAGTGGGCTCCATAGCATTCCCTAGTCCTCAAAGTCTCTTCAGCTCTTTTCTCTTCAAAGTCTTCCCAAAGGAGATCGTTCTTTCCTACAATGGGCATTGGTTTCTCGTGACTATCTCCATCACTGTTGTAGCCCCCTGGTAGGGTCTCTGACATTTCCTTTGAGTTTCATGCATCACTTTGACTGCACTGAAGATATTCTTTAGGTCCTTCTATAGCCTGAGGCCATCTGCTAGATTACTAGGTTAGTATAAAAAGATTTAACTCAGGGATAGCCAGATGGCAGAGATGCATGAGTCAAGATAGGGGAAAAAGTACAGAGCGTCCGTGCTCCTCAAGGGCACCACTCTCCCCAAATCCCCAAGTGTTCACCAGCCCAGTCCCATAGACATTCTTTCATTAAGACAAAAGAGAGTAAGCTCATCTGAATAATTTTTCCAGAAGACCCTTTTTACTTAAGTTTTATTATCTTATATTTATTCCCTGTAGTTGTAGGGCTATGTATTATGCTAAAAATATAGGGTTAACTATGTTTTCTGAAAAGATTCATTGTCTCTGTACTGAAGAGAACTGGCCAATATATTTATTTCTTTTCCAAATGAGTCTTTTGACTGATGGAAAGTAAGATCGGGATCTTAATTCTAGTTACAGCTCACTATCTTTCCTCATTCAGTGAAGTTTTTGTTCCTGATGAAATGAGAGAATACCTAGTTTTAAAAGAAAAGATAAATGCGTGGCAACAAAAAATCTGTCAAATTCAATTATTCACTAATGGGCCTTAATAATATCTTGATAGATGACAAGAAAGGAATTTTGGCTAGGTAATTGAAATATACAGTATCATTAGCTGGGAACAGGAAGATAAAGACGTGCCATCCTAGAAATATTAGCTCTTTCTCCAGGCCCTCAAACAGAAATTGCCAGCCTTAATCTCAATATTACAACAAATGAATTAATTAGCATATATCCGTTTACTTTTGCTTTATTGATGGGCACACTCATAAAATATTTATTCCAAAAATTACTTTTGCTATCGTGATTAACCAAACTGCTGCTTAATTAATAATATTATTCTCATGAGAACCTGTCTAGACATCATGTTAATCACCAATTTGTTGATGGCTTAGTGTTGTGTAGTTCTTGGTTTCCCAGAATATGAGTTGAAATAGTCCCTGTGGCTTTCTGCTTATCTCCAAGAAATGGAATAACATGCATTCTTGCCAACAGCAGAGATACGCTCAGTAAACAACACCAGGATTGTGCTGATTATGTCTGCTTTTAATAAAGTTTTGAAGGAGTCAGTCATTTTAAAGACACTTTTCTTTTCCATTAAAGCTATCCATCTCTACGGTTATTAACATTAATATGATTTTCTCCTATGTATTGTAAATTCTGACTGCATAAAGTCCATTTTTTTTTTTTGGTGTAGTAAACGAATGCAAATGGCTTACGACTAGATTCCAATACCGCTTCTTGTGGAAGGGATTGATTAGTTTTTGCAAGTAGGATTTGGATTATGTAATGGCTTCGTTTTGCTCTGCAGGCCTTGTATAAGGATTGCAGGATTAGGTTTCACATTTGTAGAAACTAGGATGACAGCCACTGGCTGTGTGTCTTGCTACTTGTGAATCTTAGAATAAATCAAAGAAATGGGGCATCTCTAAAAGCATGAGTGTCTTAAGGTGCAACAAATGGATGAGAAGAGCTCATCTAAGAAACTCAGAAGAGCTTGTACAGGCCCTGCCTTACTCAGGTGAAAGAATCAGTGGGGGTTGAAGGAAGCCGAAGGATCCTTGAACGAAAATAACTCCCCAGCTACTTTTCTAGATTTCCCGGAATTCACACCCATGTTTAAGCATTAATGTTTAAGAGATTCCTTAAGGAATGAGAGAAGCTTCTCTATTTAACACCAGGCTCTAAAATGTTCTTTGTTAGTCGATTTTTCCTCAATTCCACAAAGACTCTATAAAGGTCTTGGCGAAAGCCCCCTGCAGGAGGCAGGCAGAGGCTAACACACTTCACTCCGTTTAGAGCTTTATGCTTATGAAAGTCATTAAATTGAACACTTGCAAATTCTATGTGTAATCTGAAAGCTTCTATGTAACTTAATTTTTTATTTGGGTTTTTTAATTTGGGTTAAGATGTGAAGTTACTCATAAAGGAAAGCATAGCTACCTAACATCAAGAACTGCAGGATTTGGGATTTTACTCTATAAGCTAACGAGTCAGCCTGTTACTGTTTCATTGATGCTGGGTCGGAGACAAAGGACTTTATTACTCATAGCTCAGCAGCCAGCGTGAGCTTCATATCTCTGCCACATCCCCCTTGGGCCATGATGGACCCCTGCGCACACAGTGGGTTGTGTTACAGGAGAGGAACACTGAGCTACTTTTACAGCAATTGGAAGCAAGCCTACTCTTTGTCGGGGTGGGATGGGGGAGAAGTTACCTCTTTCCTTAAGGTTGTTTGCTGGAAACACAATCCTGAGAAATTGTTCAAGGAAAGACTGATTATAAATTTGGAGGTTATCAGTACATCTATAGGTGGCATCTAAAGCTATGTGGGGGTGCCTGGTTGGCTCGGTCGGTTAATCATCCAACATCGGCTCAGGTCATGATCTCACTGCTCCTGGGTTTGAGCCCCGCGTCGGGCTCTGTGCTGACAGCTCAGAGGCTGGAGCCTGCTGCAGATTCTGTGTCTTCCTCTTTCTCGGCCCCTCCCTCCCTTACACTGTCTCTCTCTGTCTCTCAAAAATAAAGAAAGAAATTAAAGCTACATGATTGGATTAGAATGCTAAGGAAATGAGTGAAGTTAGAGAAGGGCGTCAAAGGATGAAGTTCTGGAAGATTATGACATTTAGGGTTGAGAGAGAAGTCAAGAAGCCAGAAAGAGGCTGACAAAGCCTGACTAGAGAGATACCGTGACATAAGAAAGTAAGGGCAATCAGCTGTGTCCAAGGTCTCTGGCAGGTCAAGGACAATGAGTACTGAGCCTTGACGACTGCACTGGGCAGTGTGGAGCATACGGGTGACCTTGATGGAGTTGTTGCGGTGAAGGATGGGGCCAAAATGTGACCAGAGTGCGTTCAAGACAAAGTAAGATGTCAACTGTTCTTTCAAGGAGTTTTGGAAAAGGAGAGTAGAGAAAGGAGCAAGAGCTGGACAGAGGTGTGATGTCAATGAGCTTTTCGTTTGTTTGTTTTTGTTTGAGTTTCTTTTTTAAAGATGGAAATTAATAGAGCATGTTTGTATTCAATGGGAATAAGCTTTTCCTTAAATCATGATCCACAGTTTGGGGAAATAAAGAACAA